GTAGAGCTTGTATTACAAAATATTGATTTAAAATTTCGAAATCATGTATAATTATTCTCCCAAGAAGTACAGCTTAGTCTATGTCTGTCAGCAGCAGACTAAATCTTTGTTTACACATACCTCACATGAAAACAGAATAGCCAGCTTCTCGAGTTGATTTGAGTTGCATTAATTTACGCTCTATTCAAAGTATCATAATTCAGTCTGTACGTCCATTCATCCGACCGACCGACCGTTCGTCCGTCCGTCGGTCTACCCATTCATTTCGTTCCCGTCTGCCTGTCAGCCGGTTTGATAGATACTATCTTTGAGTTATCACCATTGAGAATTGAGAGGCAATATTATTGTCTTGCAAGTCGGAGTTGCTAGGCTCCCAACACAATTCATTCTGCACGTGCATGAACAACAACAAAAACAACTGTATAGAGGGTAAGCGGTAAATGTGTAGATGTTCGAACAAACGTATCTCAAAAACTCTCTGAGCAAATATCATAGCATGTGTGGTTTGTTGATGCTGTTTGAAGGTTGGTTTAATTTCTTGCCTAAGCATGTTCATTTGGGTAGCTGCTCTTGGTTGCATCGCGTTCGTTTGCTTGTTGGTTGCCTTTGTCTTTGCTTCGTGTGGTTCTCTTTTTCAATTCGAATGTTGCACGTTTCTCGTTTGTTCGTTTGTTGGATTCACGAAGTAGCTATCCCAGCCACCCAAGCCTGTGTTATTGTTGCTTTGGTTTGATAGAACACAGTTTTGGTTGTGTGTTCTCTTCTCTCCCTCCATTGATTTCGGCTCTCTCAATACTTGGCTTAATTTATTTATAAATGGGTTTTAAACAATAGTGCGGTTTGCTAGATGTAGCAACACACACCGTAAAACGTGATTTATTTCAGATTTTGTTTCCGCTTCATAATCAAATTCAAATTTTATACACTTTAGTGCGAATTGCTGGTACTATTTTTTCTGTTCTTTGTTTTGAGTTTTGTTTTTGTTGCTGGGTTGGTATATGGAGCAATGCTAGACTTTATAGTGAATTTCAGCCTGGGTTATTTAAAATGATACCAAATCGGAAGTTTGTGAAGTCAACCCAATATAAGTGGACAAAAAGACACTGGCAATGGCCAAATGCATCGGAATGAGGAAAAGGTCGAAAAACGCCTTCCAGAGCAAAAGAGGGATGGACCAGTTTATGCTCTAAATATTATCGATAAAATATCAAAAAAAAAGGAGATGTTCAGTATCAATGCACCTCCCTCCTCAGCTGCGTACGTTCGTAAACTTTAAATGGCAATCTAGATGGAACTAAAGCGAGGATGTTCTCATAACTTCCAGGTTAATCCCAGATTTTACATTCACCATGACTATTCCCGATTTTGGTTTTTGTCTGAATATAGGATATTTGTTGACCGGACATAGGTCCATCAATGCATTTCTGCATTGGAGAAACCTTTCTGTCGCAGAAGCGTGTAATTGAGGGGCCGCAGTCGAGGGCTGCCTGTATGTGTGGGAAGAGAGTCATCAGTATGAGGATAACAGAAATCTAGATTCGATTGGAATGGCAGACGTACATTCTCCACTAACTCCAATCATTTTAGTCTTAACGAATGTGTAATTTCAATAGTCGTAGAGCGTTAGCTTAACTTAGGACGTCTTGCAAAAATTTAATGGGCCCGTGCATTTGCCCCAGTAGGTTACCTGTACCAATGGGACAGAAACTGGAAGTAACTGGGTTACGAGATCTGATTTCATGTAATTTTCTGGTGGGGAATCTCAACTGTCTGTCTCATCATCAAAACAAATCGTTTTAAACTTTGTCGGGAGAGGTGAAAAGGCATCGCTCCTCACAAATGAGAAAGATACGTCCATGTTAACGTCGTAATTAGACCTCAGTGAAGCACTGATCCTGTCTCAAACTCTCTCTCTCCCGAGTTGTATGGAACAAAAACAGGTAGAGGTAGTTTCGAAAAAAAAAGCCGATCGGATAGAGTGTCAGAGCCCCTTGATAAGAAAATCCACACTGACTATAGGCGCATATATTTACCACGGAGGGAGACCTGACCGATGGAACAAAATCAGAAAGCAACTCGATCTGACAACAATTCATTTTTCCTGTTGCGAATCCCAGGAAATCTTAACTATTTGTCTCGTTCTCACCACAGATTGTTTTAATCTTTGTCGGGGGAACTTCGTTAACCAGGAGCAGAGCGGTTGCATAGGCCTCGCTCCTCGTGGTGAGAAAGCTACATCCATGTAAACGTGATAACTAGACTGCTCCACCAGTGTAGCACTTGCACTGCACTCATTCTATTCCCTAGTCGTGCCTTAAACTTTCTCTCATTTTGGGTAACCAGTCCTGTGTTGTATGAAACAAAAATTTCGAAGTCTGACCATAGTGAGTGTCAGGAGCAACTCTCTGACCTCACAGATCTTTGTCGGAACATTACTCGCTCCTCGTAGTAAGGACTTGCTCCTCGTAGTGAGAAAGCTACGCCAATGTAAACGTGGTTATTAGACTGCTCCATCAGGGTAGCTTTACCGGTTCTATTCCCTAATCGTGTCTTAAATTTCTCTCACTTTGGGTGACCAGTGCTGTGTTGTATGGAACAAAAACCGACGACAATTCATTTTTCTGGTAGGGAACCTTAACTCCCTGCCTCGTCATCATCACAGATCGTTTTAATTTTTTCGCCAGCAGCGGAGGGGAAGAGTTGAATTGGCCTCGCATTGAGAAAACTACGCCCATGTAAACGTGATAACTAGACTGCTCCACCAGTGTAGCACTTGCACTGCACTCATTCTATTCCCTATTCATGCCTTAAACTTTCTCTCATTTTGTGTGACAAGTCCTGTGTTGTATGGAACAAAAATAGGTTGAAATAGTATCGGATTCTGATCGGAGTTAGTGTCAGGAGCCCCTATATAAGTAAATCTAGCCTGACTATGGGCGCACATATTTGCTACGAAAGGTTATTTGATTGATGAAACAAAAACTGGACGTAACTCGGTTACGAGATCTGACCACAATTGATTTTCCTCGTAGGAAATCCCAGGGAATCTCAACTATCTGCTTCGTTATCACCACAGATCGTTTTAATCTTTATCGGGGGAACTTCGCTTGCCAGCAGCAGAGCGGGAGATTTGAACTGGCCTCGCTCCTCGCAAAAAGTAAGCTACGTCCATGTAAACGTGGTTAATAGACTGCTCCACCAGTATATCACTTGTAGAATGTCGTTCTATTCCCTAGTCATGTCTTAAACTTTCTCTCATTTTGGATGACCAGTCCTGTGTTGGTCTAATGCGGCGTCTAGGATTCGTTGCGATGTGGAATTGCCTTCTCAGCTGGGTGCTGTGACCCATGGAGCAGCAGAGATGTAATATAGTCATGATTCATAGATTTAGGGAAGGTCAACCTCGAACTTCAAGGGTTGATTGAATGAAAATTGGCGGAGGACTCAACAAGTTCCTACCGCAAAAACGACCTGGCCACAGATTAAACAAAAGTTCCTAGATATGTAACCCTGAACGCTATAGAGAGGCCCCTGTTTTGGTGCAATGCGGCGTCTAGAAATTCGTTTCGATGTGGAGTTGCCTTCTCAGCCGGGTGCTGTGACCCATAGAGCAGCAGATATGTAAGATAGTCATCAATCTAAGATTTTGGGAAGGTCAAACTCGATCTGAGAATTGCCGCAGGACTCAACATGTTCCCACCACGAAAACGACTTCAATAATTGATCCTGGCCACAGCTCAACCAAAGCCAAACAAATATTTTTAAAATCTTCCAATTAGAGGTTGCAGATCACTTTTGATTAACAACTACCAAGAAATGAGTGGATATGAAGGTCAATTTAAAAACAAATACCTTAAAAGACTTTTCAAAATCGGTATTCCGAGCCATTTACTCAATTTGCCAAATTTATGAAAATTCATCAAATAAAGATCCCAGATCACTTTCGACTGGCAATTGTCGTCAAAATTGAACCTTAAACACCGAGAAGCTTGTGAATCAAAAAAAAAAAAACAATAAAACAAATAAAGAAACTAATGCAGAAGCAGTGAATGCAGGATCAGGGCTCTTTTAACGCTTGACATCCAGTAACCCGAAATCCTTATCACTCATCAAAGTAACGGGAGAACAACCCCCTGAGGCGGAGAATCCTTCTTAGAATTACTGTTTTTGAGACGCAGTGATCTGAGAGCATCCAACTGGCAGTCCCAATCCCCCTACGGGACAGAAAAAGAAAATTTCATAAGAAAGTCAGATTCGTGAGACATTCAAGAGACCGGCCATGAGGCTGGCAGAAAAAGAAAAATTTCATAAAAAAAGTCAGATTCTACAGATATTCAAGAGGCTAGCCATGAGCGAATGTTCAGCGAAAGAAGGTGGCTGTTTAACAAAGACCGTCTGAGCGATATTGCTTTCTCGAAGCAGAGAGGTGGAGGGAGTGAGAGAATTATCGTGTACATCCTCTTCGACAGGTCTTTTCTGTGAAAGCTTCGAAAAAAAACATGATCTGACTTCTGTGACATCTTATGAGATTCTCTTCGAGAGAGTTTGGTTGCCCAAATTCTACCTGTCTCTATTCTTGGACCCGCTGAGTGGTCAGATGCAGACAAACGGTGGGAAAAAAGTACATCGCTCTGGAATAGATGCGACTCATTCTCTCAAGGACATCTCTGACATTTTATGAGATTCACCTCGAGAACGTTTTGTTAGTGTGGTTACCCAAATCCTCGCTTTCTCTTGTTTGGGAGCCGTTGACTGATCAGCTGTAGAGAATGATGACCTTGTCATTAAAACACCAACACTTCGGTCTGGAATGAATTCGACTCATTCTCAACTTCTTTCTCTCGAGGAGATTCATTACGAGACATTTTCATAAAAAAAATTAATGTACGAGAACCATTTTCAGTTCGAAGTTTCACCCGCCGAAGCCATATATGAATTCCCAATAAAATCAATTCAGAATAACATAAACATTTTCAGGAAAAAATCTCATTCCGACTTACCACATGAACACTGCTTTGCAGATTACTGGACAACATTGTTGTGGCGCTTTCTGTGGGCTTCTTCTCCGTCTTTTTGGCCGTTCGTTTGTTCTTGCTCTCGAGGAAGCGTTTCTGCAGAGCACTCGTCTCATGATTCTGCGCCTCGCACACAGTGCTGAATGTCTGTTCGTAGCGTGGCACACAGTCGGTTTGACGGCGTCGATAGTTTTCCATGCGGCGTCGTAAACGTTCGAACATTTGTTGGCGTTTCGGTGGCACAATGTCGCCCATGAGTCCACCGCCCTGGGGCGAGGGCACGGCATTGAGGCCGTTGTTGTTAAGGCCCTGAGACTGCTGCTGTTGTTGCTGTTGCGAGGGCATGCCCGAATTTGTGTTTGTTTGGCCAGAGCCGCCAGTTCCGTTGCCGCCAGGTCCAAGGCCGCCGCCAATTGAGCATCCTGGACTGGAATTTGTTGCAGCATTTGATTGATGATAGGGCGAACGTTGCGTTTGTTGTTGCTGTTGCACCTGGATCTGTTGCTGTTGCACATTGTGAACGTGTTGTTGCTGTGATGCCTGTAACTGTTGTTGTTGTTGCTGCTGCTGCTGTTGCAAATGTAAGCTTATGTTTTGATGTTGCTGCAGTTGTTGTTGATGATGTTGCAAATGTTGCTGCTGCTGCAATTGAATATTCAATTGATGTTGCTGGTGTTGTTGGTGGCGTTGTTGTTGCTGCTGCTGCTGTTGTTGTTGTTGGGCGGCTGCCTGATTGGCGCTCTGGTAGACTGGAAGACCTCCTGCATCCATAAAGAACAAATTTTCCTCAACGTTTTGTTGCTCTTTGTTGCTGCTGCTGGATTTTCAATTGGGCGCCAACTATTTATGTGTATCTAATTATATTCTGCCAAAACTTCGCCGTGGCGTAGAAACGAAGTTAGGGCTGTTAATTTTTGTTGTTTAATAAATTGTAAGTAATTTTTATTTTACAATTTCAGTTGTTTGAGGTTTTGTTCTATGTTGTAGTTGTTGCTTATTTTTTGTTTTTTAAATAATACTCTAGGTTGTCTTTGGGCAAGTTGTTTGTTTTTAATATTTTATTGAAGTTTCTTGTCTTTTTTTCAAGATTCTTGGATTGCTTTTAATTTTTCTTAGGCCGTCATTTATTGCTTAGACTTTGTCTTTTTTATTTTGACTTCCTTTTTTAAGAAGATGTTCCTTAGTCCATTTTAATCTTTACTCCGGCGGGAAGGGCGTCTTATTTATTGTAAGCTTTACTTGTTATATTTACATTGAAAAACGTACATGGTGGCAATGTTATTATTATACAATTAGACGCCATTTTGTTGATATCTGTAAAATAAAATAAAAGAAAAAATTATTAATTATATATTTGAATCCCAATATCATTGCTGATTGGAATCATTTATGCTCTGTTCCAGAACCTGGAAGAATCTACTTTTTTGCAATTTTTTCCGATATCATAAAGCCAATATCGGGTATCGTAGTTAAAATTTTTACATTCTTTGAGGTCTAGAACAGATCAAAATAGGACATTTTTGAAGAACACTTGATTGAATTTTTAAATATGTCCTTAAGGCCTCCGATTTTTAAACATATCGTAAGTAGGAGTTCAGTAATATTTGAATCGAAACCAACTCAAAATAAGTGCTCTGTTCCCGAACGTGCAAGTTTTTCATATTTTTTTTTCGATATCATAGAGAGAAAATCGTTTATCGGAGTAAAAAGCTTTTCATTCTTGGCGTTCTGGAACAGACCCTATTTCAATAAAACAATATATCCAAACTAGCTTGCAAGCCTTGAAATTTATCTGAGGTAAACTTGAAGCCTACGCTCGAGGACTTGAAACTAGACAAGCCTTGGTCTAGCCTAGACGACCTTGGTCCAAACTCATAACTCTGATAAGACGAAGAAAATAATATGCCCAACGATGACTAACACATTTCAACCACACACATTTGGTCGGTTCCAGAACTGCAAGAATGTAAAAGTTTTTTCTACGATAACCGATTTTCGCTTTATGATATCGAAAAAATCGCAAAATTAGTAGATTCGTTCAGGAACAGATCGAATCTGTGCAGCAAAATATTGGATTTGTAAAGTTATTGGTCGAAAGCACCCTTCTAATACCTGCACCAAAAATAAGCGAATCTAATATGACCTACAATATTCCGATAAGCCGTTTTTAAAATCAGTTGGTGGACCTGTCGATAAAAAATTGAAAAATAATTTCCAATAGTTTTCCTTTTCCAGCTGACACCCATGACACATACGAGTTCAAAGAAATCAGAAAAATATGCAGATCTACATAGGGCAACAAATTTATCCTAAAACAATGAAATTCGCTAATTGTACGACTCTTCTTCCTTTGGATGGCAAATAAAACTTTCAAAAATACAATCTTATTAATGTACGATTGTAAAGACCACGTACGATTTTTATACAACTTGGTAAATATTCCGTCCCGCTAGATAATTCTATTAACAGGGACATCAACAGTGACATCCATATCAAATTTATTTATTTATTTCTTCACCAAATACCAAATTTAGTACAATTATAGTACACATTTTCAAAACTACTACTACTACTTTCACTCTTTACTTGAATTCCAGCATGTTTTTCGGAAACTTAAAAATGCCGAAAATTGGGAGGTACCTCTATATACGAGTCAAAAAAAATAGTGGACTCGCGTCGAACATTTTTTCTAAGCCAATAATATGAATAAAGAACATCCCAAATGTCAAGTTTTAGATCAATTCGTAAAATATTGTGGCTGAAACAAAAGGTCAAATTATAGCTGACGCAGTTCAAAATTGTTGCCGTTACGAGTTCCGATATAACCAATTTTTAATAAAAACAAGTTAAAGGGTGTCAGTAGATTTAGCTGACCGATTGGGTATAATTCCGAAAGAATATATAAAAATATTTCAACGTTTCAGATATGGACTATGGACTAGAAGAGATGAGTCAATGCCTATTATCTTTACACCATATCTTGCGTTAGTAAAAATATTAAGATGTACGAAATTTAAAGATAATCGAATGCTTATTTGCATTTTTTGAACGTTTTGTTATTCAAAATTTTGACCCCTTTGTGGGGGAGGTACCAGAAGGAATGAGCAGATATATCCCAACTTCACACCAGATCTTGTGTTGCTAAAAATATTGGATTGTATAGAGTTTAGAAAGAATCGAATATCTGTTTCACATTTTGTGAGAGCTAAGATTATTTGAAATTTTGACCCGTTATGGGGGAGGTACCGGAAAAAGGGATCTAATGTATTTTATCTTCTCACAAGATCTTGTGTTAATAGAAGTATTGAGATGTGCCACGTTTAAAACGAAACGTATGCTTTTTCGCGTTTTATCAGATTCTTTATGATTCAACATTTTGGCCCCTTTGTAGGGGAGATACCAAAAGGAGCGGTTCGTTCTATCCGTTCTTAATACCAGACTTTCGTTGGTAGAAATATTGGTATGTGCGAAATTCGAAGACAATCGGAATCTTATTTCACATTTTATAAGAGTTTTAATTATTCAAAATGTTGAACTTTTGTAGGGGAGTGGAGTGTTAATGGAGTGGGCTGTCATTGTCCATTTTTGCCCTAGATCTATCACTGACAGAAATATTAGGAAATTGGATGAACCTTTCTTGTTCTATGAGAGAAATAATTTCCTTTGAAAATTTTATAACTTCTGTGGGATTAGTACCAGAAGGAATTGACCGATATTACCCATCTACGTTTTGGTCATATCAAATGATAAATAGCCTCTATATGGCAGAGGGTATAATTTCAACCGATTAACAGTCGGATATCGTGTGCATTTGATTTTGAATTTTAAGATGATCACGAGGGTATATTTACTTCATGACATCTTCGACAAATATCTCGGAGTTTTTCAAACAAAACGGAGAAGTGTATAAAAATATTCGCGATTGATTTGAATTTTTGTAATAATCTTCAAAGTATTGGCAGGAAGAACTATACGTGGTGCTCTATTTTACATTTTATGGCATGGAATTTATGGGCCTCGGAGGAATATTTCGAGGCGTTTTCACACAAAAGTTTTTGTTCATTTCGACAGCTAAACATTACCCGATGACCATTAAAAATTATAAGCTTCTAGCCTATCCTAAGCTATAAACTCGTACAGAATTGTGTATGGCCAGTGGAGCGACTGCAACATCGGGAATATTTCATACCCCAAATATTTTGCAATCATTACCAAATATACGCTTCTATTCATTCAGGCCCCAAACCCCAAGACGTACACACGGTGATAGCCCCATCGAAATTCCTACTTTTCTGGCATTCTCTTCACATTTAAGATGGATATATTGACCTCTCCAAAATAGCTTTAAAATGCAGCTATGCCTACGTCCCTGTCTAACCCTATGTAAAATATCGCGGGAATCGGCCAAACATTACAACATGTGGGGTGGTCCAGGACCAACTTTTCTTAATATAATTTATAATATTAAGAAAAATTGGTCCTGGACCACAACGAACTTTTAATGCCCCCGTCATATAAAGGTACACAACGACATTATTTATTCATAATTCATTGATTTTTATACCCTCCACCATTCTATGAAGGGTATATTTACTTTGTCATTCCGTTTGTAACTCCTCGAAATATTCATAATAGACCCTACAAACTATATATATTCTGGATCAGCGTAAAATTCTAAGACGATCTGTCTGTCTGTCTGTCCGTCTGTCTGTTGTAATCACGCTATCTTTCGAACGAATTGAGATAGAAGGCTAAACTTTTGCATACATGCATAGTTTACCAGTAGGGAGGTTAAGTTCGTAAATGGGCCATGTCGGTCCACGTTTTCGTATAGTCCCCATATAACGGTACATCCCGATATTCGGCATTTTCATGATTTTAACCGGAAATTATTTACCGGAATTATTTAAAATTTCGTGTTTGAAGTTCGTAATGGGTACTACAGCCTATGTCAACAATTTTTGTATGCAGGTCCAAGTCTTCGAATAGCCCCGCTATAACGATACCTCCCGATTTTCGGTATTTTGATGATTTCAGCAACATTATTCAACGGAATCGTTTCAAATTGCGTTCTGGAAGATCCTAATGGGTACTACAACCTATGGCAAAAAATGTTGTATGCAGGTTCAGATCTTCGTATAGCCACCATATAACTGTACCTCCCGATATTCGGTATTTTCATGATTTTAGCGACATAATTTACCGGAATTATTTTAAATTTCGCATTTGAAGTTCGTAATGGCCTATGACAAACATTTTAGTATGAAGGTCCAAGTCTTCGTATAGCCCCCATATCACGGTGCCTCCCGATATTCGGTATTTTCATGATTTTAGCGGCATTATTCACAAATTTCGTACTTTAAATTCGTAATTTAAGTGGTAGTTTTCGGATTTTTTTTTTTGAAATTTTTCAATTTTCTTCGAAATGGTGGAGGGTATTAAAAGTTGGGCTCGGGCGAACTTAGCTCCTTTTTTACTTGTCATTTATTTAATTATTTTATTTTTGTTAACATTATTTTAATTAAATTCATTATTTTTTCAGATCGAACGATTAAACCCTGAAATTGTTGCTCGCCTTTTGATACATATGTACATCCATACAAACATATACAGATATGTACCAATAATGATTTTTGTTGCGACATTTATGACCGATATTTTGTCAGATATTTCCGCATTTGTTTCAAAAGCCATAAAAAAATGTCAAGATTTGAACAAATTGATAAGAATCAGTTGGCGGTCGTGCGTACATGTTCATGTATTGTTCGTTTGCCATACAGTCGAGTACGTATGTATTACGTACAAACATACACACGTATGTATGTAGGTATGACACATGGCATGAATGGTTGGTTGGATCGCTGTCTGGCTGGTTGGTTTGCTGTTGATCGGTTGGTTGGTTGGTCGATTATTTGGTTTGGTTCGAAGTCAATCGAATCTGAAGGCATTGAAATTAACAACAACAACTTTCGTTCGCTGCTCACTGGCTCGCATGCGAACATCAAAATGAAAACATACAAAACGAGAAGCGAAAAGCAAAACAAAACCGTGAAAATACAAAAATTACTTTGCATTCAAAAACGATATTGCTACGGCTGCTGCTATTGCTCTTTTCGCTGATAAAGAAGGTGATGATTGTCATATTAAAAGAGACAGACAGACAAACAGCGAGAAAGAATGAAAGATGAAGATCACAAAGTGGATTTTGAATACAAAAATGTAAACAAACTGAATGGAAAAGCAACAACAATGGAATTTCCGGTTAAAATTTCCTTTCGAATAATAAGGTTCGTGTTCTTCGTGTGCATGTTATT